CTCCCTGGCACCATCCATTCCTCCTTCCCTCCTGGAAGCTCCAAGCCCACAGCCCAGGTCCTAAGAGATGGGTCATGAAAGTAGCCATCGGGCCACCTGCCCAAGCCACCTGGTGCAAGCTTTAGACACTACTCAGTATGGTCACCAGGGAGGAGACTGGGCCTGTGGGACTTGAGTCCCTTAACCTGGATGACAGGAAGGAAGGAAGGAAGGAAGGAAGGAAGGAAGGAAGGAAGGAAGGGAGGGAGGGAGGGAGGGAGGGAGGGAGGGAGGGAGGGAGGAAGGAAGGGAGGAAGGAAGGAGGGCAGAAAGCAGAGGTATCAACAACGGGAGGAAATCCTGTCCAGTTTTCAAGAAACAGCCACAGCTACCGCAGGCCATGAACTGTCCCACTGCCCTAGGACTCGGTCTCCTCAGCCTGCTACTCTGAACGGGCTCCTGCCTGCTGGGTTCTAGAAGCCTGCTGGGTGCTGTGTATCAACCATCTTTTCCAAAATAGGAGTCTGGGGTTTGTGTGTTTGTTTTTACATGTAGAATGTGTGAGATCTCAGTGTGAGAGTGAGTGTGTTTGTGGGCAAGTGTGCAGGTCAGCTGACAACCTGAAAGACTCAGTTTTGGAACTCACCATGAGTACCAGGGTGACCGTGAACTCACAGAGACACCCAGCTTCACCTACTGTGTGCTAGGAGAAGGAGAGAACCAACTCCTGCAGGCCAGGCTCTGGTTTGCTCCAGAGGTAACGGTCTGTAACTCTCATCCCAGAAGATCCAACACACACATGATGTACAGCCATACATGATGTACAGCCATACATGCAGGCAGAACACTCAGACACATGAAATAAAAACAGAGATCAGAAAACATTTTTTAAAAGAAAGGAAGAAAAGAAAATCAGTATTACTGGCAGGAGGCTGGGCTGGGAGGGGGTGTCCTCAGAGCTCAGGGACTCGAGGAGGAGCTGGGCAGGCCACCGGGTATGAGGACTTCCTGAGGCCCACAGGAAACGCCACTTCAAGAGCTATGAGAACAGTGGGGCTGGAAGTGGACTGAGCACTACCCCACTTCTGAGTTCTCAGGCAAAAAGGGAACTGAGAGCAGTCACCCAAACCTGACCCTGCGGTTACATTCTCCCACAACCTCACCAGACTCTCCGGCACTTAGCAAGGAGGTCTTCCCCTTGCTTCTTCCCAGGTTAAATGCCCCGGGTCTACTGCTGTCTTTGACCTCAAAAAACCCTACGGGACCAGCCTGTGGCATCTGCCCCTGGGGAGCTTTCCAAGGATTCAAAAGCAGCGATTTTGCTGAGGTCCTTCCCCAAACCTGGGCCAGTCCCCATGGCAGCTACAAGCTCCTGCAGCCCCTCTCCGGCCATCAGCCTCCGCCTGAGTCTGCCTGAGCTGACCAGGTCGGCTCCGCTGGATCATGATCAATGAGTTTTCTGGTCTCAACCCTGTCACTCCCGTCCATCTTTGGCCAAAACGACCCTGAGCACAACAACTTGGTGGTGGTACACAAACAGATCAAACCCTGGCACTGTTAAGTGACTCTACCCCTCTGGGCCGCCATTTCCCCCACCCAGAAATAGGGCAGGGTGGGGTGGCCAGCAGCAGCGTCTCTGCAGGGTATTGTGAGAAGTCAATGGGTGTCTGTGAGGAGGCTGGCACAAAGCACAGTCACAGGCACCGTCAACAAGCAGCTTACAGCCTTGTCTTCCCGGCTACTCCTCAGGAGCAGGATGCTGGGAGCCCCCACAATGCCGTCTGCTGCCCACCACCCCGTCGGACGGCCTGACCCCTCAGATACTTCCCGCGCTAGGAACCCTCGCTGACCTTACCAACCAGGGAGCTCTTCCTTCCGCTGTCCTTAGGGCATCCTCTACCGCTGGTCACCCTATCACACCCTGCTTCACCGCCATCCCTCCTCTGGTCCCGGTCTGCCCTCTCTAGTCAAAATCCAGCAGGCGCTTCGGCCCACTTCGTGTCCCCTGCCACCACCCCCTGGCCACAGAAATTTTCCATATGAATTTGAAAAATTACCCAACTTCACATCTCAAGCAAGGAATGTCCTCCAAATAGGCCTGTTATTTCAAGCCATACTCAAAACAAATTCCAACCTAGTAGAAGTCTGCGCAAGCCCTAGAGATTTCTAAGTCTGGCTCTGGTTCTGAAGTACAGACACATGGGCCCAGGACACAGGCAAAGCGGGTCCCTAAGGCCGGGGAAGAGAGAGCTCTGGGCTGCTGAGACCATCTCTCACATTCTCTGTTGGCTCCTGTCCTTTTTCTCCCTGGCCACATCTCTCAAGCTGAAGACTCTCCCTTGCATACCCCCTGTGACAGGAGGCTCTCCCTCTCCATCTCTCTCGCTGACTTTCTTCCTTTACCTGTTGACTTTCCCAGAGGCCTCTCTGCTCTGATCACAAGGGCAAACGAGGGAGTATGACCATACAACAAGAGACATCCCCCCCGCCAGCCCCCAGGACCCTTTCCAGGCCTTCCAACCCTCTACTTAATCCCTCGCTTTTCAGAGCTAAGTGCTGGAATTTCCACTCTTGTTCCTACAAGCTGACAGTGATGTCAGCCCGGGAGAGCTCTCTATTCCCAGGGCCCAAGGAAAGCCTACAAATCCTTGGGAATCCCACACTCTGTGCTAGAGGGCCTTGGAGCAGTTGGAGCTGTACGCACAAACCTCCCTCCCCCAAGAGCCCACCACACCCACCACACCAGCCCTCAGTCCAAGGTTTTTAAGATGTCATGAATTAGCAATTTGTATTCCATCTTTTAAGTAATTGCTCAAAACCCCCCATCAGAGCTTGATTGGTAATCACCTCTCTCCCCACCCTACCCACACACACACCCCCAAAAGATCGGGCCCACCGAGCACATGAAAACACCAGTGGGAATCTTCATAGTCACTGGTGGGGTCTTTCCTGAGGGACGACAAGGTGCCCTGTACTGGGCTTGCTGGACTCTAGAACACACCAAGACAGGCATCTCCTTGAGGATTCTGCAGTCCTGCTGGCTCAAAGTTCATCCTTCATACTAGCTCCAAGGACCTTTCAGGCTAGGGTGTCAAGGCCTGCCTCTTAGTTTGGCAATGACGACCCTGTGGCTAAGACACTTGGGACATAAATCCTTGGCCTTAGGTCCCTGACCTGCCCAAGGGTTCTACTCTTGAACCCAGCCTCCTACCCCGTGTTGACCTGAAAGTGACAGGTCTAAAGGGAGACACAAAGCTCTGCAGGTCTCCTGGGTGCTGGGGAAAAGTCTGTTGACAAAGCCACCAGCTGTCCCCAGTTGGAGCCAGGGAGACAGACTCCTCCCTGAACCACCCCACCCACACTGGGTGGGAGAGCGTTCCTAGCAGGACCCAGCCAGCCACGGAGGGAACTTGGACCACCATCACGAAGCTCCGATCACAGGCTCCAACTGACCTTCTCCCCCCTCCAGCACCAGCTGCCACCCTCACGAGGGCAAGGGCACAAGACCTCACCCAGGCAAGTGCCAGGTGGAAGGGTGTCTCACCTGGGGAAGGGTGACGGGGCAGGGAGGCAGCCCGTATGATTCAACTGAAAATGAAACTATAAACCCAGTCGCATCAAAAGGCCTAGCAGGGATATGTAGTTGATAATACAGGGCTGAGAGAGGGGGCAAATCCCAGCTCCCACTTCCTACCTTCATGTCCTTTTTCCATTCTGTGCCTCAGTTTCCCCCTCTGTAAAAATGCGCCTAACAGTCATGCGGGAGTATTTTTGTCCACGAAACCGTGGAAAGCAGGGAATTAGCCCAGTGCCCGGCACACAGCAACATGCACGGAACACTTGTTGAATATAAGCATGCCAACATTCTCCGAGGTCCCGCACCCTGGCTCCATACACCCATTTTACAGGTGAGGAAACAGAGGCTGGGAAAGGTGAAGAACCCGCTCAAGGTCACACAGCTGGGAAGTGACAAACACCCAGGTCTGTCTAACCCTCAGCCCAGAGGGTACTATTGCCCCAGAATGTCGCCCCCCCCACCCCAAGCCAGGAGGGAAGACCAACCGTGGGATGCAGGGTCTGTAGGGATCCTGGCACATACAAGCCAGGTGATGGATGAGTCCTCGGATTCCTGGCAGCTCCCAGACCCCCCCGCGTCCTACAGGCGTCCCCTCCTCAGGCTGGTCAAATGCTAGGAGTCCCAGCTCCCCGAGAACCTGAGGGAGGAGGGGAGTTAGGGACCAGGCCCTAACCAGGGCCCCCGGAGAAAACCGGTCCGGCCGCCTTCCCCCCCCCCCCCCCCCCCGTTCCCGAAGCTGGGACCCAGCCTCGAGCCCCCTCCCAGGCTAGACAAAAGTTTCCCCTGTTCGGGAGCCGGGGAGGGGGGAGGGGGGGCATTCCTCGTGGGTGACATTATCCGTGACCTACCAGCTGCCGCGCCGCCCGGCCCCGCACCCCGGCCCGCCCGCCGGGCCCCGCGAGGCCCCCCACCCCTTTGTCCTCCCACCGCCCGCCCGGCGCCCGCGCGCACCAAACTTGCGCCGGGGCCGCTCGGGCCCCCCGCGGCGGCCTGCACGCCGGGCCGGGCTTTCGGACGCTCGGCCCGGGACGCCGGCCGCCCCGGCCGCCCCGGCCGCCCCGCCACCCGGCCGCCCGGCCCTCCGGCCCTCCAGCCGGCCTCTTACCTGCCTCGGCCGGGGCGCCAGAGCGCGGGGGGCGGGGGGGGGGGAAGCGGCGCGGGTGGCCGCGCGGCCGCCGGCCCCGGGCGTGCGCGAGGCGGGCTGCGGGGCCGGCTTAACCCCTTGCTGGCCGCGCCGCGCCGCGCCCGCGCCCGCGCCCCCCGCCCGTGGGGAGCGCGCACAGGGCCGCCGGGCCGCCCGCCCGCCCGCCCGCTCCCTCCCTCGGCCCGCGCCTACCTCTCCAAGCCGTGGGCCGTGCGCGGGGCTCGATCCGGCGGCGCGGGGCGCGCACGCTGCGGGGGCCCGGCCGGCGCCGGGGCGGGACCGGGCGCCGCGAGCCGGGCTGGATTTTCTCGCTGCCACCCCCGATTCTCCCTCGGCTCTCCCGGCCGATTCGGTGCTGCTCGGCGACCACGTGACGCGGGCTGCCTTTGACCCCGGTCTCGGAGCGGGTAGGGGGCGGGGGCCCGAACCCGAGCCTGAGCGCGGGGGGGGGGGGGGGGGGGGGAGTGGGGGGGGGGGGGTGTCAAGACGCGGGACCCGCGAGGGCCATGCTCCCCGGCCAGGGGCCCGGAGGCGATGACCCCGAGCAGACAAAGCCCTGGGGGAAACCAACAAGTTATTTGGGGTCAGAGAGGGACTGGCGCTGGGGGTCGGTCGAGGCGGCGGAGGGAAGGAGGGGGACAAAGAGGCGCTCGCGCCGCGACTTCGGGGCCTGGAATCGCTGGCTGGGCCCCGGGGCTGCGGGTTCTGCCCCCCCCCCCCCCCCCCCCCCCGCGCGGGCCTGTGACAACCCTCCAGGGCCTCCTCAGACAGGTTCTCTCGACAACAGGTACCTGTCAGTATGACCCCTCCAGGGCAGGACTTCACACCTAAATCCACCCGCCATCTCTCTGACCGAAGCACGCTTGTAATTCCCCTTACTGGGAGGATCTGATTCATGGACTGATTTCATTGTTTACTAGGGTGTCATCTCCCTCAACAAGTTGTTCCCAGCTTCATCAGTCAGTCCTCTCTGTGGCTTGTAGCAGGCCCACTAAGAGGTATATGGCCACGCGCGCCAAAGTTTCTCCCACCTGGCCTGTTCTCCACCCTCAGCAGTTCCCACCCATCTCAAAGGTCCTGCAGGTTGGACGAGGTTCCTCCCGTTAAGCAGACGGAAACACTGAGTCTTCTATCCTCTACTCAGAGCCCTTAACAGCTGGTGCTAAAATTTATTCTCAGCCCAAAGAGATCAGCCATCCCTCAGCCAGCCAGTAAACCTGCAAGGGAGAGGAAGTGGGGTCAGGTGGAAGGATAGGTATTAACAACCCTTAAAAGGTCCTTGCAGATTACCAGGCAGACAGACTGAGACCACTGAGGCAAACACACGGGGCAACAGCCTGGACTCTCAAGCACCATCAGAGGTTCGGGACTGTTAACTGTAGGAACAAAACTGAAAAACAAAAACAATAAAAAACAAAAAACGTGAGAACAATTGGAGCAGAGTGGAAAGTTCAGAGAAGGCAGCTGGCACTGGGAGGCAGGACAGGCCCACAGGATTTCCCCAATGGGATCAGGTGTCCTCGCTGGTCAGCAGCCTACTTGGGTCTCCCCAGGGGGTGGGGATATTGAGGCCTAAACACAGAGAGATGCTGCTGGTCTGGAGCTGAGAACTACCAGGCTTCTGCTTCCTGTAGGTGCCCAGGTTACACCTTTGGAAGGAGTGTAGTCAAACAGGACCAGACCCGAAGACAGGGCCACAGCCCACAACTGCCGGCCACGTGTGGACAGGATGTGACTTCCAAGTACATACTACAGCCGCCACCAGTTGGACCGGGGAAAACAGCCTAGACCAGCAAATTCTTGGCAATCTGAGTTTCCACACTGGGCAGTGTAAAGTCCTTGAGAAATGGGCTGAGGCTTGAGCAGGTCAAGCCCCCGGTCGGCAGTTTAGAAGGTCCATTCCGTCAGCCCTGTGAACAGGATCTGTATTCTAGACACCGTGGGAGGGGCGGAGTTGAAAAGGACAGGCGTTCATGCTCAAGCTATGAGCCGAGGATGTTGCCCAATTGGTGGAGGGCTTGCCGAGCATGCAGGATGCCCTGGGTTCAATCCCCTGCACTGCATAGATGTGCATGCCTATAATTCCACAGCACAGCGCTCAGAAGGCAGTAGGAACAAGGTGTTTAAAGAGTTCAAGTGGGCATGAGTTCCCCCCCCCCATCCCTTTATTCTGGCCAAAGTGAGCCAGGAGAGAGGTAAGGGGGCAAGATGGCTCTCAAGATTGAAGGAGCAAGGGAAGGAGGGCTTCCAGGGTGTCAGCCGGTAAGCTGGATCAGATGAACAGTTAGGGTGGGTTTGGGAAAGGAAGATGGACGGACTTTCTGGCACAAGGAACAATCCACCAGGACCATGTGGAAGTGGTTCTGGAAAAGCTGCATGGAGCATGGCAGAGGAAGCAGGAAGGAAAGGCTGAGTCAGAAAAGACTGAAGGGTGTCGGGCGCTGAGGCTAGCCTCCAGAGCAGCTGAATCCCAGCCTGGACCGAACCTAATCCTGAGGGGCCTCCTGGAGAGAGAAGTCTTCTCGTGGGTAAAGAGATGGCAGGGAGCCAGTCAGGTCAAGGGCATGTCCAACGCAGCAGACTCAGAGGGTCAGCCTGGGAGTTAGGTAACCAACCCCATGTCTATGACAGCATTTCCTACCTCGGAGTCTTCAAAACCGGCTTCATAAGCTGGGCCTTCCGGCTTGTGAGGGTCTATGTGGCGGGCAGGGAAGCCCAGCCAGGGCGGAGATGGGCCGGAGGACCTATGTTCTACCCCTCCTCCCTCCCCTCATGACCACTCCCCAGGCCCCTTCTTAGGGCCCAGTGACCTCTTGAGACCATCGTGAGACTTCCTTGCTACCCCATCATCTCATCTGCTCCGTCTTAGCAAGGCAGAGGCTGAGCTCATCACTCCCCATCTTCCTCAAGCCCACATGGTCCAGTCTCTCTGTCCCATATGTCATCCATGAGCCCTCCCATTGCTCCTGCCTCCAAGCTGTTTTCTTTCTCTCTCAACTCCTTTTCTCCTTCATCAGTGCCGATGCGTAGCTTCTCAGCTTGCCTTTTTTGGGGTGGGGGGTGTTTTGAGACAGGGTCTCTCTGTGTAACAGCACTAGCTACCCTGGAACTCACCAGGCTGGCCTTGAACTCACAGAGATCCACCCTCCTCTGCCTCCCAGGTGCTGAGATTACCACCACCACCACCACCACCACCACCACCACCACCACCACTACCACCACCACCCAGCCTCTCTCATCTTTTAATGAAACTTCATCATGCCCATTTCCTGTTGAAAGTTACCAGCAACTTGGTTTCCCACCCTCCTAGGAGAAGTGTCTTGCCTGGGTGTCTGTCTGTTACCTACTTTTCCTCAGTGGACAGATCTTCACCTTCCACTTTGCCTGTCCATTTATTTATTTTCAGACTGAGTCTCACGATGGAGCCCTGGCTGGCCTGGAATGTGCTCTGTAGACCAGGCTGGCCTACGTCTCCAGAATGCTGGGATCAAAGGCCTGAGCCGTAAAGCCTAGCCCCAGGCTGCTGATTTTTGTTAAAGGAATGTACCAAAGCCTGTCTTTCTGGGCTCTGCCGTATCTAAACTATGTGGCCATGGTCATCATCTTCTCAACCTGTCTGTGCTCTTATCTCTGCGGTGTGGGCAATAATTGTGTGTGCTTCTGAGCGCTCCGTGGGAATTAAATATGTAAAGCCCTTCCTTCATGTGGGAGCTCAATGATGGCAATCCTTGTTTTGTGTTTGTGTTTTGGGTTTCTTTTTTTTTTTCCTCTCTGTATCCCTGGCTGTCCTGGAACTTGATCTGTAGATCAGGCTGGCCTTGAACTCACATAGCTCCACACCTGCCTCTGCCTCCTGAGTGTTGGGATTAGAGGCATGTGCCACCACTGCCCCACTATGAGAGTGATCCTTTAGGCCTCGAGGTTAAACTTTATGTTCTCTTGGGCTTTTCCTGAACTCCTGACACAGCCTAGGCCTTATGGTATACACTCCCCATCTCCCTCCTCACTACCCTCCCAGTGCCTGCCAGCTACCCAGCTCTGCTCTCTCGTCCAAGGTCATTGGAGGTCTTTGTCTGGAACCCTGCTGAGCCCCGTGCCCTGCATAGTACTTAGCACATGGCTGGTACTGTCTACTGACAAAGTGCCCACCCACTGGCACTCCTTTTTTTTTTTTTTTTTTTTTTTGAGACAGCTTTGGTTCCTGTCCGGCCTCGAACTCACAGAGATCCGCCTGGCTCTGCCTCCTGAGTCCTGGGATTAAAGGCGTGTGCCACCACCACGGCCCAGCATTGGCACTCCATTCTTTCGTTCATTTAGACATCTATCAGTGCTTCCTTTAAAGTCTTCCTCACACAGTACTGGCAGGCAAGGCGGGGTGAGCAGGAAAGGTAAGGCCTCGGTGCAGTATGCCGTGTTAGCTACTGCAGAGCGAGCGAGGCATGTAAGCACATAGGAAGAGACACTGCAATGCCTGCGTGTTTTAGTGGTCTGTGGGCTGGGCTAGGTCCTTGAAATGATGTCAATAAAACAAACTCACATAAGCAGGCAAACACCCGAGCCTTTTCGCCAGCCAGCTTCCCCAGTTCCTAAGCTGGGTATCTTTAAAGCAGCAAAGTAGGTCCTGTCCAGAGCAGACTCGGACCTCCCTCCTTTCTTTTTTTTTTTTTTTTTTTTTTGGTTTTTCGAGACAGGGTTTCTCTGTGTAGCTTTGCGCCTCTCCTGGAACTCACTTGGTAGCCCAGGCTGGCCTCGAACTCACAGAGATCCGCCTGGCTCTGCCTCCCGAGTGCTGGGATTAAAGGCATGCGCCACCACCGCCCGGCCCTCCCTCCTTTCTGCCTGCCAACCTCCTATTCAGCCTTCAAAACCTACCGTCCACAGCACCTCATCCAGGAGGCCTCGCTCTGCCTAGAGGTCTGTGCAGGCCCTGATCACAGTTTTAATGATTTTCTATGAAGACGGTGGGATAATCCAAATTCCATGTCATCTGCTTTTTGAAAGGAAGTTTCAGGTGATTTGATGAATGTATAACGACATATGATTTCATGTTTGGACTGCAGTGGAGGTAGAAAATAGCCCATGTCCGACCATGTGACCTGATCTGTGGTTTGGGGAACATGGTCATGGTAATTACAGCATTTGACCACATGGTGTAACAGTTCCCTCCCCCACCTCCACCCGAGAGTGGTGGGGGGGAGAAAGAGAGGGAAGGAGGGAGGGAGGGAAAGAGGGAGGCAGGCAGGTTGTTCCGTGACAAGGACTAGAAAACTTGGTACCTGCTAAGCACACGGAGACAACCTGTGAAGTGGGCAGTCTGTCCCGTGGCAAGTAGATATAAAACGGGATGTTTGGGAAACTGAAGTTTGTTTCGAGATGGAAGATGAGTAGGAGGGAGGGAAAACCGGAGCAGCATCAAGCCAGCAAGAAAGCGTGGCTTCCGCAAATCCGCTAATTCCCCCGTTAACAGTGCCATTGTTATGCTCCAATTACACTCTGACAAAGACAAAGGAAAACATTCTCAGGGGCCAGAGGTTTCTAAGTGAGTGTTATCAGCAAGTGGCTTGAGGTTCCCTGAGGACAGGGCCAGGTGGAGGAGCCCAGCCAATAGACCGCAGACCCTGGAGCAACCAGAGCAGACGACTTTTTTTTTTTTTTTTTTTTTTTAAGGCAGGGCCTCAAGTAGTCGAGGCTGGTCTCAAACCAGCTGTGTGGTCTAGAATAACTTTGGATTCTCCTTCTTCTACCTCTTAAGTGCTAACATAGAGGCCTGTGCCACCACATCTGTTTTTATGGAGTGCTGGGGGATCAAATCCCCGGGAACCCAGGGCTTTATGCTTCCAACTGAGTTAGCCTCCCAGCCAGCCCTCAGAGCTCATTTTCTCATTTCGTTGTACAGTGGGTGCTAGCCATGGAACACCAGGCCTCCTCACACATACCAGACAAGCTCGCTGTCACTAAGCCACACCCCCATCCCAGCACGTATCATTGATCTGCATTATTCCCCTTGATGCCATTGGCATCTGAGTTTCTGACTTCTGAACTACTCCAAGTCTCCTGAAAGAAATGGAGAGGGCTGGAGAGACAGCTCTGCTGTTAAGAGCACTTGCTGCTGTTACAGAGCTCTGGACTTCAGCTCTGCACCCATGGGTCGTCCACCCACCCTCTTCCGGTTGCCATGGGCACTAGGCATGCACATGGTGCACATAGATGCATGCAAGCAAAACATGCATAATGTAAAACAAACGTTTTGTTTGCTTGCTTTTTGAGACAGCGGTGTCACTGTGTGTGTAGTCCTGGTTGTCCTGGAACTCACTCTGTAGACCAGGCTGGCCTGGATCTCGCTCTGTAGACCAGACTGGCCTGGAACACAGAGATCCACCTGCCTCTGCCTCCTGAGTGCTGGGATTAAAGGCGTGAGCCACCACTACCTGACAACTTTTAAGAAAAAAGAAATAGAGAAACTAAGACCCAGGGAGGGTAGGAATCTGTCAGAGCACCATTGCATGGCAGAGCCGGGACCAGAGCAGGACCTCAGCTGGCAGATTTTCTGATTACCTGTTCTATGTGAATGGGACACTGGCACGCAGGGGCCGGGGCTGGGTGCGGGGTAACCTATTGAACATAGATCCCCCAGGAACAAGCCTAGACACTATTCCTGGGTCCTTGAAGAGGTACCATATAGGAAGAGAAGCACTCTGGACCCCGATGAGAAGTTGGCTCTGGAACCAGCAATATGGTTAGCCCTCTGTTTTAGCCTACCTGCTTCAAGGTGAACAATCTTATCATTCCAAGATCCTCTACAGGACCATGTCAGCATTCAGGCATCTGTACTGGCCTGCCCTTAGGGTCCTGACAGGATATATCCTCAGCTGCAGCCACTAAAAGCACCTCTTGTGCGCATGTGCTACATTTCCTTATAAAAGGTGGGCCTTGCCCACCTCTCCTCTGTTTCTCTTTCTCTTCCTTTGCTCTTGTCTTTAGGGACTAGTCTCTTCCCCCTTCTCTGCCCCTTCTCTCCCCTCCCCTAAATAAACCCCCCACGTGGGCCCTGTTGTATGGTGTGACTCCCGCCGTTTTTAAAATACAACAGTCCTCCTGTCTGGCTTGGATGTGAGATGGAGTAAGAGTTGGGAACCAGATACGGGAAAGTGAGGGACGTGCCAGGGGTGTCCACAGAGCCCTCAAGCACATGAAGTCACATTCAAGGTACATAGGACCGGCAGCTCTCAACCCTTTCCCTGCAAACTGCCTTCCAGCTAGTGCTTAGCTTTGCGGACCAAATGGTCCTCTTGGAATCTAGAGTCGGCCCTCACCTACGCGTCATTTGCCTTGGTTCCTACTGTTTATCCGTAAAGGAGCAAAGATGACTTCCTTCTTAGCATACTGTGACGATTAAGTGAGCTATTAGGAAACTGCTTAGCAACTTGTCCAGCATAGCTATCCTCATTACTATTATCTTTACCCAATATCACCTGTCTTCGCATGCCTTCCTGGAGCTGGCGGCCAGTAAGCTCTAGAGATTCCAAAGGGCCAACCGGCTATCCAGGTGAAAAAAAAAAAAAATGAGACCATCAGTGAAGAGGCCTGAAGGACCCCAACCCCTCCCTGGCATCCCAGGACCAGTTCAGCTGAGGAAAGAAAGGCAGAGAGGGTCATGAGAAGCAGAAGGTCCCAGGGGGAGCGCTGGGGGAGCGCTGAAGTCCACCATTGGGGACACGTGTTGAGAGATGCCCTGCAGCCTGGCTTCCGTAGGGAGGAACAGGCGGGACTCTGTCCTTCCTAGAGAGGAGGTCAACTGGGCTGGTGAGTGGCAGGCATGAAGTGCCTAAGCCTCAGTCTGATGTAAAGATTTGGAAACCTACCTCTAAAATTCTGTCATCTTAAGTTCCAGAATACATTGCTTCTCGGCCCTTTGGCCGTGGCCCCATGAGAAGTTCTGAAATGCCGTGTCTTTGTGAGTCTTGGGTTCCACCACGGGATCCTCAGGGTCTAAAACTGCCCTGTCATTAGAAACATAATGCAGCCTGGAATACAGCTCTGAGGTAGAGTGCTAGCCTAGCACTTGTGAGGCCCTGGATTCAATTCTCAGCCCTGGGTGGTGGGGGGAGTGGGCAGGGGAGAAATAGAAGAGAAAAGGGAGCTGGGGAGATGACCCAGTGGGTAAAGTCCTTGCTTTGCAAGCATGAGAACCTGAGTTCAGATCCCAGCACCCACGTAAAAAGCCTGTAATCCCAGTGCAGGTTGGGGTGGAGTTGAGGGGACAGACACAGGAGGTTCCCAGGAGTTTGCCTGACCAGCCATTCTAACCAATAGATAAACTACAGGTTTAATGAAAGACCTTATCTCAAAAAAAAAGTTTGACATATGTGTCACCCACACACAAATATACACACCTGCACACTTACAAACGAATAAATATAATGCAGGCGGACCACCTATAAACTCTTTTAATGATTTGTTTATTTTTAGTTCATGTGCTTTGATGTTTTGCTTGCATATATGTCTGTGTGGGGGTGTTAGATTCCTGGAGGTGGAATTATAGACAGTTGTGAGCTGCCATGTGGATGCTGGGAATTGAACCCAGGTCCTCTGGAAGAGAAGCCAGTGCTCTTAACTGCTGAACCATCTCTCCAGCCCCCACATACAAATTTTTACATTCTCAAAGTTGTCTGGTAATCACTTTATTTGTTTGTTTGTTTCTGAAACAAGGTCTCTC